CAAGTTGGTTGACTTCAGGGTACATTTACTATGGCTCTTTAGCTGTAGTAAAAGCAACCTTCAATGGAGAATGAAAACACTGATAAAAATGAAATTGTAACATATTCTTAACTCTTCCTTAATGTCATATTTAAATAAGAAAATGTTATAATGGAAACCTTTTCAAACCGCACAAACTTTAAAATTTACTTTCTTTTACTAACCAATAATCAAACTCTACTTGAAATAAAAAGCAATTTTATATAAGGAAATGAAAATCAATAAATTTTAGACTAATATTTTTAGTTAAAAAATAATCTGAAAAAATAAAAGTTAATCTGAATTTTTTTTTATATTATATATTTATTTGTTGTGAATTTTTTTAGCTGATGTAACATTAAATAGAAGAAGACAATAAAGTTTAAAAAAATTTGCTCTGGCTGAGTTTTTCAATGAAAAAATAACAATTTGTGTGCCATGAATGTAATCTGTTTTTCATGGCTGATCAATGAAAGTTTGGTGTATTGGTAAATCACTTGCAAGCATCTTGCCTTTAGGCTGCCATATGTGAAGCCACGCTTCTAAAGGTAACTGGAAGCAGCTGAAAATAAGAATTTTTTATTATTTTCGTAATAGTCTTATTTGCAATATTGTTTTTGCTTGTTTAATTTTAAGTTACACATGTGCAAGATGCTAATGATCTAAACAGCTATATTTGACTCAAATACTAGGTTGGTTGAAAAGTTCGCGGAGCGGAAATGAAAAAACAATTTTATGATTCAAAAAATGACTTTATTCTTCAGTATATTCTCCCTTAAGAGCAATACACTTTTTCCAACGATTCTCCAATTCATGTATCCCATCTCTGAAGTGCGATTCCGGAAGGCCTTCAAAATACCCATTTACGGCTGCAATGACTTCTTCATGTGATGAGAAACGCTTTCCACGTAGAAATTTTTTGAGATGTGGAAAGAGGTGGAAGTCGGACGGAGCCAGATCTGGTGAATAGGGTGGATGTTCCAAGCGTTCGTACTTTAATTCAACCAATTTCGCCTTTGCAACATCGCTGATATGAGCAGGTGCGTTGTCCTGGTGATAAATGATTTTTTTATGCAGCAAACCAGGTCTTTTCTCACGAATTTTTTTATCCAACTGGTCCAAAAGATTTTTATAATATTCACCTGTTATCGTTTTACCGGTTTGAAGGTAATCTATTAATAAAATTCCTTTCGCATCCCAAAAAACTAATGCCATAACCTTCTTTGACGATTTTGACGCCTTCACTTGCTTCGGAGCTGAACAACCGGGTTCTGTCCACTCTGCAGTTTGTTGTCGCAGCTTCGGATCATAGCGGTAAACCCAAGTCTCATCCATGGTTACGAATCGACGCACAAAATCTGTTTTATTCTTTTGAAAACGGGCCAAATAATCTTGAGAAAGTTTTACTCGAGTGCGTTTCTGATCCAGAGTTAGCGAATGTGGCACCCATCTTGCCAACAGCTTTCTCAGACGTAATTCATCGTGCAAGATGTGTAATACCCGTTCATCTGAGATGCCCACAGCCTCAGCAATTTCACGTTTGGTCAATCGTCTATCATCCATAACCATGTCATGCACAGCATTAATCGTTTCTTCAGTAGTAGCACTTTTTGGATGTCCAGAGCGAGGGTCATCTTCAAGGCTTGAACGCCCACGTTGAAACTCTGCAGCCCATTTGCATACTGTTGTTTTTGAAGGAGCATCATCACCCAACACATTTACCATTTCATTATGAATTTCCATGGGCTTTAAACCTTTTTTCACAAAGAATTTTATTACAGCACAATGTTCAATATTTTCCATTTTAAAAAATACTATGACACGTCTAATTTCAATAGCTTGTAAACAAAGACTGAAATGACATATCGACTTGAAATTTTTTATGCGTTCATACGAAGAATGAATACGTTTAATACAGTTATAAATTTGTTTCTACTACTGCAACATAGGTGCCGCTCCGCGAACTTTTCAACCAACCTAGTATAGTAACTGTTATTGTTTTAGTATGGTTTCATCTTTTCATTATATTTTTTGACAGTTATGAAACTGCTTTAGAACAGATAGAAACGTTAGAGTTTATATCAAGCATTGAAACAGCTGTCAATAGTGATGAAGAAGAATTATCAACGCCTCCAGCCTAAAAGGTTGCAGGTTACAAAAAAAGTGACACTGATGAGATTGTCTATCAGTTTCTCAAAGATTAAAGAAGTCTTTGGTGTTTTAGGGTTAAGTGTTTTCAACAGAGCTTTGCTTGACCATCTCTTTTAAATTTATTGAATTTATTTGCCACAAAGAGGAAAAAAGATTTTCTAAACCTCGAAGAAAAATTATGAAACAAAGACACCTTATGAATCAGTGAATTAATATTAGTTAATAGTTTTTGGAAACAGTTCCATGTACTATTAAAGTTTCTAATTTTTAAATAATGAAACATACGAACAAAACATACAAAGAAACATATGAAACATACAAAAAATAATACAATATGATACATAATTGGTTATAATTATGTTGTATATAAGAATGTTTTATATAAACACCTATTACATTTTGTTGTGATTTTTATCTTTTATGCCCAGTTAGCAATGTATTTTTTGTAGTAATGACTACTAATCTCAGACATCTATGACATTTTTAGGTTGTATTCAACACAGCTTTTTGCTGTGGCGAATACAATCTATCTTGAAGAATTTTAATATACTGTGTAATAGAGAAGCTCACAAACCAGTATGAAAGTCTGGATGGTATTCTTACTAGTGCCTTACTAAAAAAATCCTGATCTGCAAAAAAAGTTGACCTCTGGAATTGCATCTGTTTATAACCAATTGCTTTTACTCTTCCATAATATCATGTTTCAATAAGATTATCACTTTATGGAAACCCATCTAAACCACATAAACCAACCAACCACATAAGAGGAACCATTAAACATTTAATACAACCAATTATGTTACATTTATTTTTTTATTTTAGATAAATTTTCTTGCTTTAGTTGGAGAAGGTGATTACAAACAACTTACAGCAGCATTCTTAATACAGCTAATGGCCAAAGAAGTATATTTTTCATCCTGCAAGGTCGATATAGGTAAAGCACAATATTTGTATTCTACATCCTATTTACTTTTAATAAACAAATATTTTAGTAATAGCTAATTATTTTACAATATTTATATGTCAAAAATTATATATGTCAAAAATTATATATTTCAAAATTATATTGTAATGATATTAAAAAAACATTTTGTAGAGTTATGTTTAGTATTTCATCAAATTTTCAATCATTTATCGTTGTATTCATTTAATTTGAAATTGCTACAGACAAAAGTATTAAAGAAAAAATTGGCAGCTTTCTGGCGATGGTCATTGATAGAGGTTACGGAATAAAATAGAACCATAACTGAGCAACGCCCAATATTAAGCAATAAAATAAGTATCAGCAAAATAATGAAAGTCAACTATCTGATAGTGAGAGTATAATACAGTAGTATATAAATATAAATATATACATATTTTTGTGCCTGTATTTAAATAGCATTGGTTTTATTTTGATATATTTTAGTTTTGGAGCACTCTATACCTCTTTTTTTCATTTGTATCTCTTTCATATAACTTCAAATAAATTTAATGATTGACAATTTTTTTTTTTCTTAAAGCGTGTTCTATGATCGTTGTCATTTCCTAGACTATAACCTGTTTAACTCACAAGAATAATGCAGCCTGCTATTATCGTATCATTTAAAAAAGAAAACTGTTATAAATTTTAATAATTAAAAATTTGTAGAAGACAATAATTTTTATTATTTTTTAATAATAAAAATTTAATCAAAAATAATTGGCTTAATATAGTTATATATATATATATATTGGGATAATAGAGTAAACTATATTATGCCAATTTTGGCCAGTATTATATCCCCATTATCAGCGCGATATTATTTACAATATTGGCGCAATATTTTAAACATTGTCGTGCCAATATTGCAGTGTGAACATTTTGACAATATTGGCCAATATTCACTTAATAATATTAACGCAATATTGTAACGCCAATATTGGAAAAATGTTCACATTTTAATATTGGTGCGATATAGTTTATAATATTGAGTCAATATTGTAGACAATATCGCCCCAATATTGTGGCAATATTGTTTGCTACTTGGGCTGTGTTATTTTTTTTAACATTTGACTTTCTTGCTGAATGTTCATAAATACTCTTCAAGTTTTTAGTTTCAAAAAGTTTAAAATATCAAAATAGAATAAAATAATTATTTTTTTTAACTTTTTTTTTTTTGACCATAATCTTACATTGCGTATTTATCAAAAGCAAAATAAAAAAAAGTTATTTTTTTATTGTTATTTATATAATATGAATATTATTGTCATTATTAAAATGATTTGATTTTAATTTTTTGTATCAAAAGATTTTTTTTTTGTATGGTGCCATGGTTAAAAAACTCTTCTCAGAAAGAGATCTACAGATCAAAACCCACCACTATTCTTGAAGTACAGTTGTTACTAAGATTTGAGTTATAAGTTAGAGTGAGACAATCTGGAGATAATAATTATGACATATAAATAACATAATACACTATGTTATTAACCATTACTCTTTTTATTGACTTTTCAAAGAACTTTATTTTATAAATTTTATTTAAGACAACTAAAAAAAATTATTTCATTATAATTTATTTTAATTTTTTACTAATCATCAAATTTTTCACAATTTTAAAAACTAAAACTAATATTAAAAAAGAGAAAAAAACCATTAAAAATTAAATTCATCATAAATATAAAATTAAACTTTTATTCATACATTGAAAATTATATTTATTAAATTTTTATTTATACAAATAAAATTAAATTTATTAAATTTTTTTAGTAAATATAAAATTAAATTTATTGAACTTTTATTTATACATATAAAACTTTACATTCATAAACCTGCTATAAAATTTTACAAAAAAAACAAACAAAAAAACAACCTTGTTTCTGATATAAAGGGGTTGGTTTTCAATAAATCACGTCCAATCAAATGATTAATAAACGAGGACTTTCCAACACCACTTTGTCCAAATATCATGCTAAAATATACAATATTTATATCAAAAATTTTTATTGGAAATAAAATTCATAAATTATTCAAGAATTAAAAAAAAACTATTAAATAACCCATTCACTCAGAATAAACAATATATGAAATAATAAATATATAAGAAATATATAACAATGAAGAATGGATAGCATAAAACTGCAAATATTCTTCAAATTTTTATATATTTTTTCAGATTTAGAATTGAAGTTTTAATTTAAGAAACATCAGTGTTACAAAAATCACACAAAATCATGAAAATATAGAACACATGATAAAATTGTGTCCTTCATTTTTAATTTTTATTATACAAGATTGTAAGTAAGATAACTATTTTAAATTAAGAATATTTTTTTAATTATAAATAATAGATTTTATAGATTTTATTAAAATTATAAATAAATAATTAGAACTCACAACTTGTTGAATCCTCTTAAAACTGTTTATAATTAAAATTATCCAAATTTAATTCTACTTTATGCAAAAAATGATGCCACTCAAAATAATAAATATAAATGAGCCATATCAAAACTTACAAAACAAAAAAGAAGAAAAAAAGTTTGTCTTTTAATAAGTTCCAACCATTACATAAGATAAAATATATAAAACTTTTAAAATAAGTAAAATATTAAAACTACTAATAATAAAAACTTATAATATATAAAACATAATTAATAATCAATGAAATAATAATAATAAACAATAATAATGTAATAACCACTTATAATATAATAAAAACAATGTAATAACTAAAAACAAACAATGTAATAACTAAAAATAAAAATATTGTAAGTGAAAAACACTAATAATGTAATAACCACTTATAATATAATAAACACAAATAATATAATAAACATTTAAAATTTCAGCAAAAAAAATTTTTTTAATAGTTTTTTAGGTGCTCCAAGAAGTCCTTATGGTCATATCACAAAGCACCACAGAATGACATTTACCCAGGAAGTTCACACCTCCTTCTTTACCAGTGATGCATATATGGCCTGAGCCGGCTTCGAACCACAGACCTCCAGTTCTGAAGCCAGAACTCTAACCACTGCACCAAGGTTGCTAATAGAAAATTAAAAATAAATAAATAATAAGGTAACAAAGAATGGCTGCTAATAGAAAACAAGCCAACCAAGTATTTAAGAGATAAAATAAATTAAAACATTTACATTAAAGAAATAAAAACCTTTGTTTTATAGATTTTTTTACATTTAATTACAAAATTTTGTACCAAGTGGTTTTAAATGGACAACGATTTGCTTTATCAGAAAAATACATATACGAAATGAGTTTTTGACGGGGATTTAGTGGACCTGTATATCCATATTTAAAACCAAGTTGTTTTGCCTCCTGCTGCATTCTCTCGAAAGTTTGCGGCATTGGTTCAAAATACTGTTTGTGTAAATTAGAAGTAGAATCTCTGTTTTCATCACATGTCACATCACTTTTGTCTAAATAAATTTTAAAATTAACCATATAATTACATCATTGCATCAGTAAAAATCACAATTCTTAAAAAAAAAGTTTAAAGCAAAACATTTAAGCTTAAATTCATTTTTAAATCTGTTTTTTTTTTTTTTTTTAATTTGCATTCACTCCCAACAAGGCTGCAAGCAACCACTATTAAGTTGGGAGTTACTAGGAAAAAAAAGAACAAGGAAACGGTTGACAGAAGACTTGAAAAGTTGAAGGTTGTATGAGTCAGGAAAACATGAAGATGGGAGAGAGTTCCAAAAAATTGAAGTGCGGGAAAAAAAACTAGATAAATAAAAGTTTTTAGAGCATGCAGGGACAGATACAGTAAACGAATGAGACTTAGCTGAATGACGAGTAAAACGAGAATAAGTTTTAGTTGTTGGAACTTGAAATGATAACTCCTTTGAGCAGTGACCATGATAGTATTTGTAGAAAAGAGAAAGAGATGCAACTTTACGACGATGGAAAAGAGGCTCAAACTTAGCAGATAGTCCAGGTCCAACAACATTTACAATGCGTTTTTGGACCTTGTTAAGAAGAGAAAGTGAATCTTTAGAAGAACCAGCCCAAATATGACAAAATTATTCAATACAGGGACGAATAAGAGATTTGTAGAGGTAGAGAATGAAATCAGAAGTAATGAAATGGCGAGCACGATAAAGAGAAGCAACCTTAGCAGAAGCTAATTTAGCAATTGATTGTATATATGGTTTCCATGAAAGGTCAGTAGTAAGCCATAATCCAAGAAGACGTAAAGAGGACGACTCAGTAAGAGGATTGCCATTCATTAATATAGGAATGTTGACCATATTATGGTAGTTGTTTGCAGTAAGCAACTGGGTTTTTTTAGAGTTGAAATTCACAAGCCACTGTGAACCCCAATCTATTACTAAAGTGAGATCGGATTCAAGATCAGCTGCTTGTTCTAGGCGATCGAAAAGAGAAGACTTTTTGTCAAAACAGGAGTATAAAGTTGAGTCATCAGCAAAAAGAGCTACTTTAGATGAAAGGTTGTCAGGAAGATCATTTATGTAGATAAGAAACAAAACAGGGCCCAGGATGGAACCTTGGGGAACCCCAGAAGTTACTGGAAATAAAGAAGAGTGTTGGCCTTCAAGGATGACTCTAATAAACCGGTTAGAAAGAAATGATTTTATAATCTCAAAAACTTTCCCAGAAACACCATATGAAGCAAGCTTATGGAGAAGACCAGCATGCCAAACTTTGTCGAAAGCTTTAGATATGTCGAGAGCAATAGCCCTAGCCGCACTGCCTCCATCTAATATAAGATAAAATCTTTCAGTTACAGCAGTTAGCAAGTCGGCCGTAGAGTGAGAGGATCGAAAACCGTATTGATTGTCTGACAGTAGTTTATTTGACTCAAGATGAGATGTGAGGAATTTGTTGATCAAAGACTCAAAGACCTTGCTAATAACAGAAAGAAGACTGATCGGACGATAATTGGAGGGGTCAGAATTTTCTCCAGTGTTTTTGAATATTGGAACCACAGATGCCATTTTCCAACAAGCAGGAAAACAAGACTTAGTCAAACACTTGTTAAATAGTTTAGAGAGAATTGAAGAAAGTTCTGGAGAACAATTCTGCAAGACTGTGACAGGAATGTTGTCTGGACCACAAGCTGTAGACGAGTTTAATTGTGATACGACTTTAGCAACAGAAGCCAGAGTGATTTGAATGTCTAACAATAGGTCAACCTGTTTGACTGGAATGGAAGGAAGAGAATGTCCATAAGATTCAAGAGTAGAATTAGAAGAAAAGTTCTTTGCAAATAGTTCTGCCTTATCCTTGGGAGAAGTAATAAGATCAGTCCCATGAATGAGAGATGGAATGTTAGATCTACCCTTGTTAAAAATGCTGTTAAAGATTTTCTAAAAGTCTTTAGAGCCTAACTTCTGCGATAAGATGCGAGATTTAGTGAACTGAGAATAATGGAGTTTAGCATCAGAAAGCACCTTTTTACATCGACTTCTTGCAATAATAAATAGCCGTTTGTTCTCAAGAGAGTTGTTCTTTTGAAAAAGATGAAAAAAATGATAATGATTGGATATTGCAACCGCACAAAAAGAAGAAAACCATGGAGTAGAATGAGGCTTGACTTGAAACATACGAGAAGGAATAAAATATGCAATATTAAACATAATACAATTAAACATATAAACAACCATGCAATATTATTTAATTGTTATTTTACACATATTTTTTTTTTTTTTTTAAATTATCTTCGCTTCCAACAAGGCTGCAAGCAACCACTAATTAGTGTTGGAAGTTACTGGATAGGTTTGTAGATTGTAGATTGTAGAGCAAGATAAAGATTGTAGAGCAAGATAACGATTGACAGACGACTTAAAAGATTGCAAATTATATGAATCAGGAAAGCAAGATGAAGGAAGCGAATTCCAAAGAACTAATGTTCGAGGAAAAAAACTAGACGAATAAAAGTTTTTGGAGCACTTAGGAACAGTAACAGAAAAAGGATGAGACTTAATTGAATGACAAGTAACACGAGAATGAATTTTTGTAAATGGTACAAGAGACGCTAGCTCTTTAGAGCAGTGCCCATTATAGTATTTGTAAAAAAGAGAAAGAGAAGCAACATTACGACGATGTGACAGAGGTTGAAGGTTGGCTGCAAGAGCAGGTCCAACTATGTTTACAATGCGTTTTTGCACCTTGTCTAAAAGAGAAAGGGCATCATTAGAAGATCCGCCCCAGATATGGCAACAGTATTCCATACAAGGCCGGATTTGAGATTTGAGAAGAAAGTGACAAGCTGAATAAAGAGAAGCAACTTTAGCAGATGCTAATTTTGCAACGGATTTAATATAAGGTTTCCAAGAAAGATCAGAAGTAAGAGTTAATCCTAGAAGATGAAGGGTAAGAGACTCATTGAGTACATTACCGTTCATAAATATGGGAAGGTCTAAACTATTGCGATAACGATTGGCCGAAAAAAAACTGAGTTTTATCTGAATTAAAGTTCACCAGCCACTGTGAGCCCCATGCTGTAGCATAAGTGAGATCCTTTTCAAGCTCAGATGCCCCCTGATAGCAATCAGAGGGAGTTGGCTTCTTATCATGACAAGAATAAATGGTAGTATCATCAGCAAACAATGCCACCTTAGATGTGAGAAAATCTGGAAGATCGTTAATGTAAATTAAAAAGAGTATAGGGCCAAGGATTGAACCTTGAGGAACCCCTGAGGTTACAGAATAAGAAGAAGAGTGCTGTCCATTAAGGACAACTTTTATACTAAGATTGGAAAGGAAGGATTCTATAATCTTGAAGATGTTTCCAGATACACCGTAAGAAGAAAGCTTATGGAGAAGACCAGCATGCCAAACTTTATCAAACGCTTTAGAAATGTCAAGAGCAATGGCCTTAACCTCTCCACCTTTATCTAATGCGCGATAAAACTTATCGGTTATTACTGATAGCAAATCAGTCGTAGAACGAGAAGATCGAAATCCATATTGATGATCAGAAAGTAGGTTATGAGATTTGAGATAAGAGATTAAGTGTTTGTTAATTAAAGATTCAAAAACCTTGTTTGTGATAGGAAGAAGACTAATGGGACGGTAGTTAGTTGAATCGGATCGCTCTCCAGAATTTTTAAAAATAGGGATAACAGATGCTGCTTTCCAGCAGGCTGGAAAACAAGACTCTGATAAGCACTTGTTAAATAGTTTTGAAAGGATAGACGACAGCTCTGGAGAACACTTCTGCAAGACTATAACAGGTATATTGTCCGGGCCGCAAGCTGTAGAAGAGTCTAAGCGGGAAATCACTTTTGATACAGAAGATGGAGTGATACGAATGTCGAGCAATGGATCAACCTGTTTGACGGCTATATCAGGTAGAACGCAACTAGTGGCATCAAGAGATGATATTGATGAAAAGTTTTTGGCAAACAATTCAGCTTTGTCTTTAGGTGAGGTGACAAAGTCTGAAGCGTACAAAAGAGGTGGAATTACAGACTTGCCCTTATTATTGATACTATTAAAGATTCTCCAGAAGTCACTAATTTTTGTGATGAAATACGAGATTTTATGATCTGAGAATAGCGGGCTTTGGCATTAGACAAAACTCTTTTACAATGGTTCCTAGCAGTAATAAACAGACGTCTGTTTTCTAGAGAATTGTTTTGCTGATAGATATGGAAGTAATGGTTTCGATTGGCAATTGCAGCAGCACAATATGAGGAAAACCATGAAGAGTGAGGCTTGACCTGGAATCGTCGAGAGGGAATAAAGGATTTCATGCCAGCCTGAATCCACGAAGTTATGTAAGAAGCACATTTGTTAACAGGAAGACGAAAGATTTCTACCCAGGGGCATCACAAAGAAAATCTCAGTACGTAAGATGTACGATGATAGGGGGATTCTGATGGTAAAGAAGAATGAGATAATAGCTTTAGAGAGACCAAACCATGATCAGAAGCACCTAAGGGTGAGTGTGAAGAAACTGAGCACTGACTAGGATCAAAAACAAGACATAAGTCGAGCACTGACTAGGATCAGAAACAAGACATAAGTCTTCTTACATGAAAACTTTTAAATGCATTTAAAATGCGTATTATTATTAGTAGAATAAATTAGCATTGATTAAAAATTGTTACTAGTAATATTCTATAGTTGCAAAAATTTTATATAAATAATTAGAATGAATTCTAGTAAGATATTGGGAAGAGTGACATTTTTTTGAAATAGAGTTGTAACCCAATGGAATATGCTTTGTAAGCAGCAGTGAACGCTCCATAGGTCATTGATTTACAGACACAATTGTGTCTGTAACTTTTACAGACGCAATTGCTGCTTTGTCTACAGTTTCTGTGTCTTTATATTTGCTAGCATAATAGGGCCTGGTGTGAAAAACATTCATATCCTCAAATAATAAATGTAGGAGACCGGAGAGAATTCAGTTTTACTCTAATTAGACTTATTTAATAACTACTGA